TGGGTCACACAAACCCATATTGATGCTCTGTGCAGTAGAAGATCGTGATACGAGGTTTATGTGCTTATCACACCACGCTTCCTTCGTTATTTGTGCCGGCAGAGATGTTTTTCATATGCATCCAAACTGACGTAACATCTGAAACGCTGTATTTACCTGCAGGAGCCCCAAGGATTTCAGAGTATTTTCATCTGTTATTTGTTAGTTATTCCCACACTTTTAGACCTGGTTTTGTGCACACACTGGTTTGTGCCGGTGTTTTTGTGCAGCATCGCTTGATATCAGCGTGTAATATGCAGCATTGCTCACAGTTGCATCACATTATCACACTGGCACACGATGCCCAGGGCTCGCTTTACGCTACGTCTCATTCGCACCCGTTTCTTCAAACCCTCTCGCAGTATTTCTAGGGAGGTCATGGGAAAGGCTGTGGCCTGTGGGTGTGGGTTTTTCATTTCTTTTTCACAGTTCTTAAGCTCCTAATTGAAATGCTCATTAAATGTGCAGCGGCAGGGATTTTGGGAGTCGATATGCTGTGTACATTTTGAGGTTGAAACGCATCGTTTTTATTGCCTCATTTGTTCCCATTGGACGAATTAAATATTTCAGCGTTTGTCAGCGTCGTGTATCTACTGTACATGTAATATGCGTTTTGTGTGCTCCGAGGGGCCGACTACCTCCCTGCACTTTCCTGAAGCAATAAAGAGCTTGTTTTTGTGCACATTTTCTACATTAAAAGGGGGTGAAGCCCGAGCAATCTCATTTAAGGTCGAGTGAATTAAATGAAAGCCTCTGAATATTTTTCACTAGGGATATGAAGTGAATTTAATAACTTCAAATGAAATGCAGCTAAAGCTCTGGAGTCGTGGGGCTCATCGTGTGAGACGAGGGAATAAGGGACGGGATGTTTTGCTGTTCAAGACTCGTGCACGGTCACGTCAGCTCTTATTTGCTGCTTTTGTTTAGTTTCTGCAGTTTCTGCCACAATGAAGGGTCAGTTTAACATTGTGCAACATTTCAACCTGAATAAATAGAGATGTAAAGTTGCAATGCAGCGTTCTTGTAGCTCGATTGCACGAACTGAAACAATGTGGAACTTGAATGCAAAGTTGAAAAAAAGTGCATGATATGTCAGAACCATATTAGTTATGTTTTATTTGGCCTATTTTAATATTTAGATCATCTAGCACTTACTTTAAAGCAGGGGTGCCCACACTCGGTCCTGGAGGGCCGGTGTCCTGCAGAGTTTAGCTCCAACCCTAATCAAACACACCTGAAGCAGCTAATCAAGGTCTTACTAGGCATACTAGAA